CAGAGCAGGGAGCCCGATGCGGGGCTCGATCCCAGGACCCTGAGATCATGACCTGAGCCGAAGGCAGACGCTTAACCGACTGAGCCACCCAGGCGCCCCCCCTCCCCCCAAAACCTCATTTTCCCAGCAAAGTTACTAACAGCTAAGATTGATGACTAACAGAAAGGAGCTTTTTAGGAGAGAAGAACCTTGGTTATTGATATACCCTTATTGATTCCTTTCTCCAGCCCAGAGAACAGTGACCTTATTTCCTATAACAGTGTCTGGACTGCATGCCAGCAGGTGCCTCGGATACCAAGAGGTGGGTGAGAGTGGGAAACAGGCCACTGACTCTGCTGGCCAAAGCAGACAGTTCTCTCCTATCTAGTTTCTACTTTTGTAGCATGGATGTATTTTAACTTATAGTTTAGTAGAGTACATATAGTTTACCACCAACATCAAAAGATAAGTATTAATATTTTTTCTCAGTGTTCTTAGTTCTCATACTTTTTTTAGCCCTCTTTCTGGGGCCCTATCTTGTTGAACAAATGTGGTTTGTTCTACTGGTCCTGCCCAGGACACACTGAAGCACTTCTGAGATGGTGCCAGCTGGGTCAAAAGCAGTGTTCGTCCAAGAGGACGTTGATGAGAAATATCGTGTGACCATTTTTTTTTTTTTTTAAGATTTTATTTATTTATTTGAGAGAGGGTAAGAAAGAGGGAGAGCACGTGGTGGGGTGGCAAAGGGAGAGAGAGGAACAGACTTCCAGCTGGGCAGGGAGCTCAACATGGGGCTCGATCCTAGGACCCTGGGATCATGACCTGAGCCCAAGGGAGATGCTTAACCAACTGAACCACCCAGGCACCCCTCGTGTGTCCATTTTATTTCTTTTTGTGGTTAACGATGAAAAGCTTTTTAACTCCTATCTGGGTACCTAGACGATGGGTATTAGAAAAATTTTACATTAAGCCACTGCTCTTGTTGACTATCCTGGGCACTCTCCTCAAATGGGAACACAATTGGTTGTCATTTGCAGACTTGACAGAATTGTAGGTTTCTTCTTTTATTCTAGTGCTTTCTGATTTTCCCTCATAGATAACAAAGCTGCGGCTCTTTCAATGCTGACGAAGAGTGTGGATTTTGTGAAGGATGCACATGAGGAAATGGAGCAGGTGAGGGTAGATGAGAATATAAAGAAAGGAGATGGCCTGGGCGCCTGGGTGGCTCAGTCGTTAAGCGTCTGCCTTCAGCTCAGGTCATGATCCCAGGGTCCTGGGATTGAGCCCCGCATCGGGCTCCCTGCTCCT